AGTTTTAGGTGGACACAATATCTTTATTTTACATTGATGTGGTTGTGAAGATCGAACCCAGTGCCTCATGCATGCTAGGTGAGCACTCTACCACTGAGCCACAACCCAAGCCCCAGTTTTGTTATCTTAACATCATGATTTTAATAAAAACTGAAGATTGACCACTTTTTCTTTTTTGGTACTGGGGATTGAACCCAGGGACCCTCAACCACTGAGTCCCATCCCCATCTCTTTTTTATATGTTAATTAGAGACAGGGTCTTGCTGAATTATTAGGGCCTCTCTGAATTACTGAGGCTAGCTTTGAACTTGTGGTCCTTCAGCCTCCCAGGCCTCTGGGATTACAGGTGTGCACCAGGCCGTCTGGCTTGATCATTTGTTTTTATGTGAACTGTGACTTGCTTTATATAGTACAGGATTCAACCTAGATTGTTGGATTGAACAGTTTTCATTAAGAAAATAAAAGCAGGTATAAAAGTTTACAGTATTCAAGTGGATATGTCAAGAGCTATGCAATGTTTTGAACAACTAATAAAAAACAAAAACAAACAAACAAACAAAAAAAAACCATCATTGAGGTCCAAAAAAACAAAAACAAAAAACCAGCAACGAAAACATGATAAATATGCAACTACAAGATATCATCAATTTGAATGTATGAAATATGTCAAGAGCTATGTAATGTTTTGAACAACTAATAATAAAAAAAAGATATCAATTTGTTTAAATAAATTATGCTTTAAATTAAAAAAAAGTTTACAGTATGATTTAAGAGCATTATAGTTGTTTAAACAATGTATAATTTTGAAAAATCTGAAAAAGCAATAATATTTGTACATCTTTGTTTAATAATAACCTGTATCAAGTCTGAATTTTAAAAAATTACATTTCTCAAGGTTTGCATTATTGGAGTATTTAAGATTAGAGAAGATTTATCATTTGATACGATTTTTCTCAGTTTCACTGCGTGGGGAAAAAAAAAAAAAGAACATATATCCCATAAATGGGAACTTTTTGCCCAATGTCTTGAGAAATGTATATTTCAGTGATAACTCTGTGGTCTTTTAGAGATATAGTTAAAAATTTCCTCATTTTTAAAATTAGGCAACTAATAAAAAAACTACCTTGTTTTAATTATAGTTTTCTGCACATCATATACAGAATATGCTACTAATTGAGAAAGTTTTTATAAGCTTAGGTGTTCTCTTGATTCCTATAATTGTTAATTGCTTTATTTTCTGTTCCCTTGGTCAGTGTGTGGTTTGTATTTTTTAACTTGCCATGGATTATATACCTCAAATTAGATGATATAAACAGTATCACTATTATACTTACTGTTGGTAAATAGTACTTTTTTGTTGTTTCAAGTTGAAATTTACTGAGAGATCCATCGAACTGAGCTATATTGATAATTTGAAATTTTGGTCATTCACTCCAGATTTTACATTATTATTGTTGAACCTTGTCTTGAATTTTGTCCTTGTCTTGAATTTTGTTGTTTTGGTGTTTTTTGGTTTTTTTTTTTTTTTTTGGTATTAGGGATTGAACTCAGGGGCACTTGACCACTGAGCCAAATCCCCAGCCCTATTTTATATTTTATTAGAAACAGGGTCTCACTGAGTTGCTTAGCGCCTCACTCTTGCTAGGCTGGCTTTGAACTCATGATCGTCCTGCCTCAGCCTCCTGAGCTGCTGGGATTACAGGCATGTGCCATGGTGCCTGGCTTGAATATTTTGACTTTGTTCTTTTTCTTTTTTGGTTTTAATATAAAGGTGGACATTCTTGATTTATATATATATATATATATATATATATATATATATATATATATATATTTAGTTGTAAATGGACACAATACTTTTATTTTTTTATTTATTTTTATGTGGTGCTGAGACTCGAACCAAGTGTCTCACATGTGCAAGGCAAGTGCTCTACCACTGAGCCACAACCCCAGTCCCAACATTCCTGATTTTTATTTGACATAGAAAAGCTTTGGTATTTTATACTTCGGAAGTTCAAAGCTTAGTTTGATATAAAATAAAGTTTGCTTTCTATTTAGGAAAAAAAAACCTTTAAAAGTTTTATTAATTTGTTCAATAATTTTATTGAGTACCCACTAAATGCAAAACACTGTTAGTTCTGGATATACAATGTAAGAAAGCAGAAAATGGTAACATCCTTAACCAGTTAATAAAACATCTCAGAACTAAAGGTATTAGACATGATTACTGATAAGAATTGAAATATTCCAAACTAAATTATTTGCAGAGTAGCAAAGCATAATCCTAAAATGAAAATAATCTTCCATGTTCAAACAAATAAGATATATGGTTTCATAATCTGTCACCTTAGTAGTTCCTCACTATCATCAAAATTAGAACTTTATTCTTTATTAGATAAAAGTTAAAAGATACCTAATAAAACTTAAATCTTTTTTTTTTTTTTTTTGTGCTAGGGCTTAAACTTAGGGATGTTTTACTACTGAGCTACATCCCTAGTCCTTTTTATTCTGAGACAAGATCTTGTTAAGTTGCTGAGTGTCTTGCTCAGGCTGGTCTCAGACTAGTGATCCTTATGTCTCCAAAATTGCTGGGATTATAAGCATGCACCTCTGTGCTTGGCTAATCTATTTTTCCTCAACCCCCAATTTCAGAACACTCTTTTACAGTTTCCTTAGGGAAGGAAAAGAGAAATAAATGTAAGAAAGAAACTTTCTTAGATACTGCCATACATAGTTTTTTTTTTTTTAACCTCAAATCTAAGGATCTGTACATAGTGTCTTATTAGAATCGCAGCACTTTTTTTTTTTAAAGCAAGCAGCTATTCTTAGGAGTTGACTCTACTGTAAAACCAAAAGGTATAGAAACATTGTAAAATTACTAACCTCAAAAACCCACTTAGCTACAGGGCTATTTCCTGAGTAGACCACTCAAGTGAGCAAAAAACAAGCTTAAGGAGAAAACAAAACAAAATAACCTTTAGTCTTATTGTTAACAATCTGAGCTGTTATTTAGTTTTTTTTTTTTTTTTTTTTTTTTTTTTACATATTTCCTTCTATAGATACTAGATGGCAAGAAGAGCATAATGCTTTTCAAGGAAGATAGTGTTGATTCATTTGTATCTTATGGGAAGTTCAAGAGCTGCAGAGGGGAACCAAGTCATGCAACAAAGTTTGACAAATACTTAGAAGAATTTAAGATGAATCATTTAAACCAGTCTGGCATGGACCATAAGAAAGTGTTCTGAAATATGGGGTTGAGCAAAAATAGATTAGCCAGGCTCAGAGGTGCATGCAATGAAAAACTCATAAGCAATTTGCCAAAACCATCAAGGGTGAGCTCTAGGAGGGAGTGAAAGTGCAGATGTGCACTTGGAGGAGTTAAAATCTCACTGCTGCCTCTTATGTTCAGAAGGAAGAAGATAACAGGAGTGCCAGTCCCAGTCACCTGCTCCAACAAGAGGGTGGTGTGCCAGTTTGAGGGGAAATATCACCATCATGAAGGAATTAGGAATTAGAGAGCAGGAAAGTTTAAGGAGAATTACAGGGGGAAGTTATTAGGGCAAGATAAACTAATCAAATAGGAAAAACACTCCAGTTTCTCAGAACAACCTTCTATGAGGAGGCATGTTTTACCCTAGGGAAGCCACTTACCCGATCTTAGCTTTAGTTTCACAATTCTTACCTTTCCATATATCCCTGGGCCATTGATTCAATGTAGGCTATGGGCATTATCTATGAAACGCTCAGTCCCTTGTAAGCATTCTCTTGTTCACCAAGGCCTGTTGGTCCTTTCTCTTTAATGTCTTAGATTCAACTTGTCCTGTCTATTCTCATGTTAACTACCATTCCAGTTTTCACATCTGTTTTCCTGTAGCAATGAGCTCTTAGGTGATCTTCCATATATCTATATATATTCCAGTCTAGAGTCTCCTGGCAACAAAGGTAGATGAAAATTCTTTTATTTTTTTTTCTTTTTGGAGTTGTAGATGGATATCATTCCTTTATTTTGTTTATTTTTATGTGGTGCTGAGGATCGAACCCAGTGCCTCACATATGCTAGGTAAATGCTCTGCCACTGAACTACAGCCCCAGCCCCCAAATTCTTATATTTCACTTTAATACAAAAGTACCAAAATACTTACTGATAGGCTTTAGGAACAAATCCAGATTCCTCAGCTTGTTGCCAGATCCTTCCCCATCATCTGTCCCCACCCAACCTCTCCAATCACATCACCTACAGACTGTTCACCTACTACCACTTCTTTTGCTACTTCTTACCTTTACCCCTATCTTCCCAGCATGAAAATAAAGCCATAAAGTTCAGTCACCTGTTTTTTAAGACTCTTGCCCCTAACTCTATCTTGCCATGATCTTCTCTTAGTTTGGGCCCCTACAATATAAGTCTTTATATTCAGATATAGAAGTTTTTAAAATTATTCATATGCTTCTTGCTCCCCATAATTTTTTTTTAAAGAGAAACTTATTCCAAAGAGGGTATGCAAAATGCCATCTATAGTTTCAGGTATATCAAAGGCAATGATAGTGTCTTCCATGCATTTGTATAACTCACTGTACTCAACATGTCTTGAGCATACCTAAAAGAAATTTGTTGTGATAAAGTATGCTATATTAAGTGGTTTGGCTTTGGTGAAAAATCCACTTCATCTTGGTTTTTCATTACACTATTTACTCCAGGTCTCTATGCTGGCACAGTCTAGGTTTCCAGTCTCTGGCTGGGCCGTTTCACTATGCCAGGAGCAGATGGGCCTTCACTACAGGGAGGCCCAGGAACTTGGCAAAGAGCACTTCCCCAAATGCTGCTGCCCAAGTGGTAGGGCTACTGAGGCTCTGAGTCCAGCTCAGAAAGGCCAGAAAGAAATGACCTCCTTCAGCTCCAGAACAGACTTATTTTAAGAGAGAAACTTGTTCCAAAGAGGATATGCAAAATGCCACCTATAATTTCAGGTATATCAAAAGCAATGAAGAAGAGACTCATAAAATACCTATAATAAAGCTTGTTTAATTTGTCGTGTTTTTCACATTGTCCTCAGAAGAAAGGTCCCTTAATCTGCTGTTTATCATGACAACATTTTGAAACCTCATCAAGCTCTTCAGTTTACCTGCTACAGACTTCAGAGTCACCTTCCCATATTCCACATAGGGGATCATACTCTGCCCTTGGTTCCAAAAAAAACCCCAAGAGGCAAAAGTCAATTCATAACTTGCAATTGAAGCAATTTAACCTTTAAAAAATAGAGAGTCAGGACTCTTGGTGAGGCTTTGAATCTTGCTCAATGTATAATCAAACCTGAAGCTTCATTTTAATCACTTATTCATTTAATGAAGATTTATAACATCCATACACATGTGAGAGAATGGAGGAGAGGGGTGTTAGAGAAGTGTACAACTAAGTACCCATTAAGGATCCTGTTTTCTAATAGGAACAACAAATATACAAATAACTACAATTGAAGGCTATTTGTGAAAAGAACCATAAAAGTGATGCAAATAAGTGTAAAGAGCCAAAGATCACTTTTTGGGGGTTATCTATAGATAGCCTCTATGGAGGAAGTGATCATTGAGTTGGTCTTGAAGATTTCAATAGGTTGAGATGAGAAAAAGCAATATGAAACAGAAAGCAGTAGAGGCTAGAAAGGGCAGTTGGGGTCACATCCTGGGGGGATTTGAATCCCAGGCTGGTGGAAAGCCAGGAACCTTGCCATGCTGGGAATAGAACCCAGAGCCTCACACATGCTGGGCAAGTACTCTGCCACTGAGCCACATTCCAACCTCAAATTTCTTTTTAAAAAACAACTTTATTGAAGTAGTACTGACATACAACAAGCTACATATGTCAAACTGTACACTTTTGACATGTATGTATCCCATGAAACCATTACCTCAATCAAGATAATAAACATACTCAATTACCCTAAAAAGTTTTACTAAAGGATTTTAAGAGCATGGAAACAAACTAATGCTTCTGGAAAGTGTTTCTTTTCTTTTTAATATTATCTTTAGTTGTAGATGGACACAATATCTTTATTTATTTATTTATTTATTTGTTTGTTTGTTTGTTGTGCTGCGGATTGAACCCAGTGCTTCACACATGCAAGGCAAGCTCTCTGGTTAAAAAACAAAGCAAAACAAAAAACAGTGAGTAATGCTTTCTGACTCTGAGACCCACATATTATAAGGGAAGACAGGAAGGAATAAAAGAGGAAGATTAACTGGATGATTAGGACGAAAGAGGGAAAAGGGTAAAAATGACTGAGCCAGTTGGATGGCAATCTAGGAGAGTGTGAGATAAGAAAGGCATGCAGAAATAAGCATTAGTTTGTGGATTTGAGAAGAAGAAAAATAAATCATACTTAGGAATCACTCACATTGAGTGAAAGATGAAGCTCTAAGACTGACTTATGTATGTGAGAGACAAAATTAATGGAGGAAAAAAAAGCCAATCTAGAACCTTAGGAACTCCAAATCACAGGGGTTCCAAATTGCTAACAGTACAGTGTTAAATTATGCCAGGTACTAAGATGAGCCCTTTACAGAGTATATTGTTTCATATATCCATCACAATATTCTTATGAAGTAGTTACTAAATAATCTTTGTTTTACAGATGTGGAAAGTAAGGCACAGAGGAATTAGGTCACTTGCCCAAAGTCATATAATTACCCTACAGTGAAATTAAATTGTTAAAATTAGGCAATCGGAAGGCATTCATCATCTCTGAGCTAGACAAGGTCTTCTTCCAGCAGCCCAATCACTTAAGCTTTCCTAAGATGGGATGACCTAGCAACAGATGCAACATGAAGCCAGAGCTGCTTGACCCACTTGCCTGGTATAATCTCAAGGGGCACTGTATCTTCTAACCTCAATACACTGCGGTATAATTGGAACTAAATTCACAGTCTGATGTTTTATGGGGCAAAACAGGATGAAATAGGGAGCTGGTATGATAAGAGGGAAAAAAGAAAAAGGAGGGGCTGGCCTGACTTTTTTTGGTACCAGGATTGAACCCAGTGTCACTTTACCACTGAGACCCATCCCCAGCCCTTTCTATTTTTTATTTTGAAGCAGGGTCTCACTAAGTTGTTTGGGGCCTTGTTAAGTTGCTGAGGCTGGCTTTGAACTTGCAAAAGCCTGCCTCAGCCTCCTGAGCCACTGGGATTATAGGCATGTGCCACCATGCCCAGTTTACTATCCAATTTAGATTGCACTTGCTAAAACTGAGTTCAAATGCATAAACAGAATAATTTTATTTCATAAACAGCATTAGTCAAAGTGAAAATATTATGCTTTTGCCTAAGAGGTCAAATACCACAAAACTCACCATCTTGATTTTTATATAAGGGACTTAGATATATATCAACTGTCTTAGGTGGTAGTAAACATGGCTAATTTCTACTAAAAAGAAAAAAGAAATTTTGTCTCTGGATTATTAACCTATTGTGATTTTTTTCCAGGAATAGAAAAAATAAGTATTACATGGAAAAGCAAAAATATATTAACAGAACCGTATATTTACTTCTCTGCACTTAAAAGCCAGAGAGATGGCTGGCTGAGGGAGGGAAAGTAGTTAGCTTTGGTAAAATTCAGCCAAAGTCACAAACACCTGATTTAATAAGTACATATAGCAGTATTTTCTTCCTGACATTCAAGTAAATAGTCTGTTGTTGTTGTTGTTGTTTTAGAATCTGTAGCTGATGACTGCCTACTAATTGACTATATTTTTAAGGACTACTGTGAGACACACAGATCATAGAATAATTTTTACTTACAATCACTTTCGCTTGTAAGGCCAAAGAAATATATACCTTTTATCAGAAACTCAGGAACCACAGAGCTCTCTGATTGACTGAAGCCTCTCTCCTGGGCATGGTAGCACATGCCTGTAATCCCAGAGGCTTAGAATGCTGAGGCAGGAGAATTGCAAGTTCAAAAGCCAGCCTTAGCAACTAGGCAAGGCCCTAAGCAGTTTAGTGAGACCCTGTCTCAAAATTAAAAAATAAATAAATAAAAAGAACTGGGGATATGGCTCAGTGTGTGAGCACCCCTGGGTTCAATCCCTGGTACCTAAAAAAAATTTAAAAAACAAAAATAAGACACCTTCAAACTAAGTTCTGAAAAAAGGGCTTAGTAACTTTGAGTTTAATTCCTAATTACAACTGTGTTTATAGAAATTATCAGAACTGTAACAAAGTTTAAAATTACTCCAGAAGAAATGTTCATTTAGCTCTAGAGCAGAGATCAGCAAACTTTTCCTGTAGAGTCAGCTAGTAAATATTTTAGACTCGATAGGCCACATGGTGTCTGCCCTAACTATTCAACTCTATTGTTGTAGTGTTAAGGCAGCCACAGACAATATATAGACAAATGAGTGACATTACATTCCAATAACACTTATTTATAAAAAAAAAAAAAAAAAAAAAAAGAAAGAAAGAAAAAGAAAAAGAGCAGGATAGATTTGGCCTATGGCTTGTAATTTTTCAACTTTTTTTCTAAAGTGATGGTTCTCAAACTCTATGTGCATTAGAATCACCTATGGAGTTGAAATGATAGGTTCCCAGGCCCCAGTCTCCACTCCTACAAAATCAAAATTTCTAGGGGTGGGACTTGGGAATCAGCAATTTAATAAGACTCACAAGTGCTAGGTGGACCATACTTTTAAAAACTCTGGCCAGGCCCATTGGATCACTTATGTAATCCCAGCAACTCAGGAGGCTAAGATAGGAGAATTGCAAGTTTGAGGCTAGCCTCAGCAATTTAGTGAGGCTCTAAGCAACTTAGTAAGACCCTGTCTCAAAAAATGAAAAGGTCTGCAGATATAGCTTAGTGGTAAAGCACCCCAGGGTTCAATCTCCAGTACAAAAAACAACAAACAAAAACTCTGTGGTACGCAACTAGCTTCATCTAAACTGGGGTGGCCCTACAGTCCTAAATGTGGGTTGGCACTTCCTACATCCTGTGGTAATAAAAATGCAATAATTTTTAATCTTCCTTTGACCTTTTCTAGTAAAAGGCTAAATGAACAAACTGCAATTTTTGGCTTTCAGCCTCTAAAATACATAAAATTAATTCTGCTCAGATGAAATTTAGGGATAAATTTGAGAGAAAATCAACTTGAAATAATGTAAGATTTTTCAACCAAAAGTCTCCCTTTAGATTGCAAAATTAGTAGACAAGATCCTTACCAAAATACAGGGCTAAATCTGAAAGAATAATTTCTAGTGTTCTCTGTTTCCTCCAAAATATCTCCAGCAAAGGCCTGTCCTGTTGCCTAGAAGTTTACTCATAACAAGTCATTACTTTGTGTCTGGAGGTCTCTGCTTCAACAAAATCTCATTAAAATTCATGTAAAGAAAGAAAGTATAAAATCTCCGTAGGCTTCTGGGAGTTTCTCCTAACTTTAATAATCAGTAGAAAATTACTTATTCAGCTAAGTTCAATTCTGCCAGATGAAGTGAGTTGTTTTGATTTTTTTTTTTTTTTGGTCCATTTTAATTGCCAGAAATCAGTCCCTGTTCAGTCAAAGAGGAAGTGATGTTGGTCTGGGGAATAATTCCACTTCTTCAGCTCTCCAGATTTTCCTAGGAAGAATAGTGAAAATCCTATAGTCAAAGAATGGTCTTTAAAAACTTCCTAAGTGTCAGGAGTTTGATGCATTACCTGTAAATCCCAGAACCTCAGGAGGCTAAGGCAAGAGGATCCCAAACTTGTAGCCAGCCTCAGCTACTTAGTGAGGGCCTAAGCAATTTAGTAAGACCCTATTTCAAAATAAAAAAATCAAAAGGGCTAGGGATGTAGCTCAGTGATTAAGCACCCCTGGGTTCAATCCCAATCTCCCCCATCCCCCCAAAAAAATTTCCTAAGAAATCAGTGAATGATCTGTAGATAATCTAGGGAACAATTTTGTTTTTTAATTTTTAAAAATTTATTTGGTGGTGGGGATTGAACTGAGGGGTGCTGTACTGAGTTACAGTTTTATTTTTTATTTTGAGACAGTGTCTCACTAAATTGCTCTTGTTGACCTCAAACTTGCAATTCTCCTTCCTCAGCCTCCCAAATTCTTGAGGTTATAGGCACCCCCCACACACTGCTCCTCACCCCACATCCTAGAAATAGAGAAACACTCTATGATAGCAGAGGTTTCAACAATTACTAAGACCTAGGCTTAGAATGTCTTTTAGTTACCACTATAACAGTTGAGATAAACTGCTTTTTTGTTAGATAATATTAAAGTTCTGAATTTCCTTAAAACACATTTAAGGATGTTAGAAAAAAAAGACCCAGAAATTCACCAGGGAACAGACTGAAGCCAAGCAGAGATTAGAACTCTACCAACAGTATACTTCATATATATGATTATTGGAAGGAAGTGGAGATGAATATAGTCTGTAGACAACACTTTAGGCAGTATGACTCCGGAGCCCAACCCCCACAGGCTGAGCTTTCTTCTACTCCCCTTTCCCATGGCAACAATTTTAGCCAAGTAGGGAGGCCTGTTTTCTGGCTTGGTTTCCAATTTACAAAAAGGGTCATAGTTAGAGTCCCAGGTATTAATACCAAACAGTGCAGGTGCATAGCAAAGGTAGGGGCCCCAACATACTTACCCATCCCCCCTGGCCTTGAATGAACTCTCGGATGGCTTGGTTCCCATTGATCATACTCGTCATGGGGACAGCCATCTGTCTCACCACTTCAGGAGCCACATGGGCCGCATATTCAAAAAGTTTCACTGACTGCCAGAAAGGCTCTCTCATAAACTAGGCTGGAATCCTGAGCACACCAGGCCTTGCTGAGGAACTGCACTGTGTCTTGGAGTACAGCTCCTACCTGAGGAGAGAGAGGATCTATCAGTAGAGTACATCACTCAAAAAGTACAGGAGACTGCCAATACAGGAATCCAGTAGAGAAAGTGCCTCCCAAAGAGTGGCCAATGTGCCATTGGTGATACCTGAAGTAATATTAGGGGACAGATGGATAAACTTTTCTCCTTTTAACATTTTAATGAGTATTAGAAAAACATGGAAATAGCCCATCAGATCCATGGTTTCAGATTGCTTAGGATGAATAAAATGAAAGAAAAATGACTTTTGAAAGAAAAATATTAAGTACATGAAAGTACAGTAGGCCAAATTGTAAAGGTATTGTTTGCATGACTAAGAAAATTCTAGGCAACTCTAAAGTAAAAGAAAAAAGAAACAAAGCTCTTCCTTTTCATCTTTCCTTTCCCCTTTCCAAATGACTTCATCCAAAAGCCATTAGGTGGAGCCAAACATGGCCTTTTGGGGTTTGGGGAACTAACAGTGGTCAGAGGAAGGTGTCAAGAGTCCAAACAAGTTAAGAAGGGAATCACATGGAAGGGGACCCAGATCTAAGTTTCTGAACATCGTTTTTTCATTAAAAGAAACACAGCTCCCTGGAGAATGGATGACTCCAGACAGCATGGAAAGTAAAGATCTTCTACTAGAAATTAAAGAAGTACTCAAAGTATGGTACACATAAAAGAGTCATGGTCCTAATCAAAAGGAGTCTCACCAGAGAAATACGAGACAATTTGAGCATCTAAATAATGATAGTAACAGATGATAACTTCCTGTTGAGTAATGTGGATATTTGAATAATGTGGAAATTCATAAGTTGTAGTGATATAAAAGTAAACAGATTGAAATTTTGATGGGTTATAGGATATTTACATAGTTGCAAAGTACCTCTTTATAAAACTTATTAATTACACAGGGGAAAAGAGTAAACTTCACAGTGGAAAAGCAAAATAAAATGGGGCAAAATAAAATCTTGTGTCAATTGATAGGATGCACCAGGTGTGGTGGCATACACCTGTAATCCCAGCAACTCAGGAGGCTGAGGCAGGAGGATTGAAAGTTCAAGGTCAGCCTTAGCAATTTAATGAGGCCCTAAGCAACTTAGCAAGACCCTATTTCAAAATAAAAAATAAAAAGGACTGGAGATATCACTCAGTGGTAAAGTATACCTGTGTTTAATCCCCAGTACTAAAAAAAGAAAAGAAAAAAAAAAAAAAAAAGAATGGGCAATGGGCATTTCCTGCTGTATCCCCTTAGATAAATATAAGCCCTCAAATCTTTCACAGGACATTCCTAGTCACAGTTTATATAGTAAGAAAAGGAGGTTTGAAATAGAAAAGAGTAAAAAACAATAGCAAGAAGTAAACAATTGACCTGTCCCTGAATGGTTTTTGCAATGACATTTTTAGCAGGAGCTTCCAATTCTCCATTGAATTGGTCACCCAACATCCGAAGTCGACCAGCAATGATAGCCACATCAAAGCAGCAAGCCTCTCCTAAGAAAGAGGAAACAAATTGGTCACAATGCTTGATGGAATAAGTATCAGGAATCTGGGCAAAGGGGAAAACTTCTCTAGTCTTTTAAACAATTTCTCCCCAAGAACTTCAATGTGCTATCAACACCAGTAGTCAGAAAATTTACCTTCACTGAGAATCTCTTTCCCTTCAGGGGTTGCTAGAAATTTAGAGTTTACTTAAGATGAAATTAAAAAAAAAAAAAAAGTACACTCAGATTCTCTGGTTCATTGTAATCACCATCTCAGGTCAGGAGCCTTACCTGAGTCAGGTTCGTCTATGGAGCCCAGGTCCCGGTTGGCAATGTGCAATGTTGGGCTCAGGAAGTTTGTGAGTAGAGTGTTCACGATGCATTCTGTTTGTTCCTCAAAAGTTTTGGGACTCTTCATTTTAGATGTTTGCTATTAAATTTTGCTCTTCCACAAAACAAGCAGTTTTCAGCTCAACAGGAAGTTAGAAATACTGGTAAACCAGCAGATGTGTCCACAGCTTGTACTTTCCTAACTGAATTTGTAGTTCTGGAAACTTTTTTCCACCAGCTTTCTTTAGAAATAGCTGATCAGAAAGGTGGGACTTCTCTTAAGAGAAGGGCTGAACTGTAGCTCAGTGGTAGAGCATTTGCCTAGCAAATGGAACTGGGGAGTCTTGTTGAAGACTTTCAGTTCCTTAGCTCAGAATCACACCCTAGCCAGTATACATAGAGTAATGAATAACTTTTATTGTTAGATAGCCAATTTAGATCTGAGATCAAGTTGAGGAAGAGTCTCTTGGGTAATTTCATTAAGAAATACTTCCTGTTAGGTTTTGTGTATATTGTAATTTAAAGGAAGTTTTTGAAGAGATCAACATTCAACTTCTGATTATAGTACTTACTGGACATAATTATACAGTGATTATTTACTGAGCACCTATATGTAGTAAGAAATGATACTTGACACAAATAACACAGAAAATGACACATAACACACAAAATGAGATTATAATAGGGAAGCAAACCTAGGGGATTGGGAAGGCTTCCTTAAGAGTGGTAACATCAGAGATGAGTTCTGAAGGAGATTCACCAGGCAAAAAAGGAGAAATTAAGACTATTTGAGGTGGAAGGGAAAGCACACATAATGACTAAGAGGTGGAAAAATCCCAACTTAAATGTTTGATGAATCATAAATAGTGATTATACAAAACATAGGGAAATTGTGAGAATTAAATAATGTTATGGGGATTATCTTAAGTGTCAGGTATGCATCAAATGTTAAGGATCTTCCTTTTAGCCTAAGGCCTACTGACCAAGGTGAAAGAGAACAGAAATTCACTAACAAGAGAATTTTCCCGAAGGATTAAATTCCATTATTGTTTTAAGAGATCTGAGGATTAGACACTTACCTGTGATGGCTGCATTCTTAATTTTGCTAAATCCAGATTTTGGGTCTGCATCTTAGAAGCATCACTCAAACCTATTAACAACCCTATCATTTAAACCTGTCTGACCTGATAAAATTATTAACAGCCCTAACTAATGAGATTCAAGCATAAATAGCAAGTCAATTACTCAGAATAATCAGAGCCAATCTTGTTGTCTGTTCCACACTAAAAGTACAAATGACTACTACACGCTTATTAAAATAGCCAAGTCTAGAATACTGACAACACCAAATGCTGGTAAGGATATGTAGTAATAGGAATTCTCATTAATTGCTGGTGGGAATGCAAAATGATATAGCCACTTTGGAAGAGCTTTTTATAAAATTAAACATACTCACTTTATCATATAATCAGCCAACTCACTCCTTGGTATTTACCTTAAGGAATGAAAACTTATATCTACACACACACACAAAAAAAAAACCCTGCACATAAATATTTATGAAAACTTTATTCATAACTGCTCAAATTAGGAGGCAATGAAGATGTCCTTCAGTAGATTAATAGGGATGAATAAACATTAAACACATCCAGACAATAAGATATTATTAAACACTAAAAAGAAATGAGCCATCAAGTAATGAAAAGACAAGGAGGGCTGGGCATGGTGGTGCACTCCTGTAATCCCAGCAGCTTGGGAGGCTGAGGCAGGAGCATCACAAGTTCAAAGCCGGCTTCAGCAACTTAGTGATGCCCTAAGCAACTCAGTGAGACTCTGCTTAAAAATAAACAATAAAAAAGGATTGGGGATGTGGCTCAGTCCTGCTAGGTCCAATCCCTTGTACCTCCAACCCACCCCCACCCCAAAAAAAATGACAAGGAAGAATTTAGATGACTAGACTTCAAGTGATAGATAATTGATGAGGCAAATTCATCAGTTGTAACAGTTATATGGTTGGGGATGTTAATAGTGAGGAAGACTGTATATATAAGAGCAGGGAGTATATGAGAAACATCTATACTTTAAATTTTGCTGTGAACCTGAAATTGCTTTTTATTTACTTATTCATCTTAGGTATTGGGGATTGAACCCAGGGGAGCTCTACTTTGAGCTACAACCACAGCCCTTTTTATTTTTTAAAATTTAAATTTTTAAAAATTTAAGACAAGGTCCAAGTTGCCAAGACTGACCTCAAACTTGGATCCTCCTACCTCACTACCTCAGCCTTCTGAGTTGCTGGGATACTGAGTGTGCCACCACACCTAGTCCTAAAAATGCTTAAAAAATACACACACACACACACACACACACACACATATATATCTTTAGTGTTGGGGCTGTAGCTCAGTGGTAGAGCATTTACCTAGCACAGTGAGGAACTGGATTTGATCCTCAGCACCACATAAAAACACATAAATAAAAGGTTAAATTCTTAAAAAAAAATCTTTAAAATAAATCATAAATCGCTTTTGCACTAGGAAGAGAAATTAAGTTCCTTTGTAGCTAGAGGGCCAATTTCATTTGTTATCATCTATCACTCATCCTCTTTATAAGACAAAAAGACTGAAACTTGAGTTAATACTAATAGTTTTAAGACCTTTAACATCAAAAGAGCCCTCAGAGTTTTGTATTTCTGAGTTGGGTTTGACATGTGGCTAAGGATGTGGAGTGAAAACTGCAAAAACTCTGTGAATCAATATGTATTTCTAAGAAAAGCCTTACCTATCATGGTATCTGTTTGTGATTTTCTTATATCAAGTGCATTCATGAATTAGATTACAAAGTCTATTACAAAAAAAGGGAATGTTAGTCTAATTGACTTATTTTACCTCAAACTCCTCATTTCACTGTTGATACGCTTATGGAAAATGCCATCTTTGGAACCTAATCTTGATGGCTTTGCATTATTTCATATAAGCAATGTTGTAAGGCTATAGAAACAGGACAGGCTTTAATGGGCAGTGTGGAATAAATTTTCATCCTTTGTTTACTTCACTTTGGGCCTTCAGTGTAGCACCCTTCCAAACTATCCTTTCCCCTCAACCCACAGACTTTCACCCCTGAAGTCTTACTACTGCACTCCTAATTATTACTGAAAAATTGTGAAGCCAGAATTTGGTATTATTACTTGTTTCTCTTGCCTCCCTCTGGCCAGAACAATTTATGTCCCTCCTGGAAAAACTTTTTCTTATCATATTATCCTGGATGGAAGTCCAGGATCTTGTCATTTGCACCAAATGTATATGTGGATGAATCCTAGGGTGCAGTTCTTCTCAGCATGGAAACCTATAAAAAACAAGTCATATGTCTCCTCTCCCCTAACCACCCAATATCTGAGAAAGGGACACAATAATTCTAATAGAAATCCCATTCAAAAAGAGGGAGAATGGAGACATATTACAATCATTGGTCCACAACTATAAGATTATGATCAGTAATCATGAAGTGACTGCCTCTGCCATGTTCCACACCATGTCTTCCTGGGCACTCATTATATAAGTTACATACTGATTACTTATTAACTTAGGCTAACATTAGAAGACTATTATTCTCAGAACACAGTATCAACTACCCTCAAGGACTTTTAAAGAAAAGCATCAAGGGGGCTGGGGTTGTGGCTCAGCGGTAGAGTGCTCACTAGCATGTGTGAGGCACTGGGTTCGATCCTCAGCATAAAATAAAGGTATTATGTCCAACTACAACTAAAAAATATTTTTTAAAAAAGGTAAGCATCCACTTACATCACACCATCAAACTAGACGTATGAGCTGGGTGTGATGGTGTGTGCCTGTAATCCCACTGATAGGAACTGAGGTCTTAAGCACTTTCAGAAGACCCTGTCTCAAAAAATACAAAGGAGCTGGGATATCACTCAGTAGTAAGGTACCCCTGGGTCCAATCCCTAGTACTTTAGTGGGTTTTTAAGCAGCAAAAACACAAAAATCCACATGTATGCAGATGCTAGATATAGTTCCTAAGGGCAAGAAACATTTAAGAATTAACTTCATAGGATACTTGAACTTTGGTCATATTGTTTATAAATTATTAAAACCAAACTACAACACCACATGATACCATAAATACATACAATGTAAATATGTATGTACCAGTTTAAAAAAAAAAAACTAAAAAAGAAAAATGGAAAAAAAAAACAAGCTACAGAAAAAAATCAATTCTTCATTATTTTTTAAGTATATATATATTTTTAGTTGCAGATGGACATAATGCCTTTTTATTTATTTATTTATATGCGATGCTGAGGATAGAACCCAGTGCTTCATACATTCCAGACAAGTGCACTACCACTGAGCCACAATCCCAGCCCTTCACTAATTATTGAAACCAAGGGTGCGTAACCACTGAAACACATCCCCAGCCCTTTTTATTGAGTTGCTGAGGCTGGTCTTGAATTTGTGATCCTCCTGCCTCAGTCTCCCAAGCTGCTGGAATTACAGATGTGTGCCATCACACCTCTCCACTGAGAAAATTTTATAAATACACTTTCCAGAAACAATTTCATACTCTGCTATATATGCTTCTTTTATTACAAAAAGCAATCAAGTTAGAACTTATTCTTTTAAAAGCTCCAGTAGTTGGGATCACTTTAGGTTAAAAACAATTTTTCCCCCTATACTGGGGATTGAACTCAGTGGCACTTTATCACTGAGGTACATCCTTAGCCCTTTTTAGTTTTTATTTTGAGACCGGGTCTTGCTAAGTTGCCCAGGCTAGATTTGAACTTTCAATCTTTCTGCTTCAGGCTCTGATTACAGGCATGTACCACTGAGCCTCGCGTGCTTTAGTAACATTTATTCAACCGGTGAGTCATATAAAAATTTCTTTAGGTTAACAATTCAATTATAGTCTTAAATTTTGTTTTATTGGTACTAGGGATTGAAGCCAGGGCACTTTATCATTGATCCACATCCCCAGTCCTTTTTATTTTGAGATAGGACCTGGATAAGTTGTTTAGAGCCTAAGTTGCTGAGGCTGACCTTGAACTTGAAATCCAGCCTCCCAAGTTTACAGGCATGTGCTACCAAACCTGGCTGCAGTAGTTCGTTTTAAAAAGTCAAGTTCTAAACCTATATCCTATTTTCTTGCCATACTTTAAATTGGAAGCACTTCACACTTCATTTCTCATAATACCTTAACTAGACATTCACGGATTAACTGAACAAATAAAAATACGGGAAAAAAGCAATTCTGAAGAAGTTCTCATTTCTCCCTTTCCATTTCCAGGGGATTTATAATCTAGATTAATGATTCTCAAATGGGAGCAATGTTGCCCCCCGCCCAAGGTCCTTTAGAAATGTCTGGAGACATTTTTAGTTGTCACAACACAATGTCTACTGGCATCCATTACGTAGAAGCCCAGAGTTTCTGCCAACAATTATCTTATAATGCACAGGAAACAAATTATCCTTCCACAGCAAATTATCCTCCCATAACAAATTATCCTTCCCCAAATGTCAAAACTGCCACTTTTAAGAAGTCCTGGTCTAGATGAAATTCCATTATTTTCTCTACAATTGATACAATATAATAAAGCAGCAATCTCAAAACACTATTGGAATCTTAATTACTTACAGTCAATTACTATTTACGGAGTAATATTATGTGGCAGGCACCATGAACACAGAAGGAAAGACATCCACTGTTCATAAATTGTCCAGTGGGGCGAGAAGACCCTTTAATAAACAACTTAAAAAGTTCAGGCTCTTACTAGAAAATTCAATATTATTATGTACTCCTGTGAAGAACACATAGTTGAGAAAAGTGACAAGCAAAAATTTATCTAAAGCACATGGAGTTTATAAATCTAGGTGTAGAAGTCTTGGAATTAAGCTGGATGATGAAGACCACATACTTGGGCAATGTTATATGAAGTCCTTGAAGATACTCCTTAATTAAACTCCATGTTCAAGTTATGCTCTCTGATTTTATTGAAGAACCCAATAAGAAAACATAGCTGGGAGCAGTGGCACACTCCTATAATCCCAGTAATTCAGGTGGCTGAGGTAGGAGATTACAAGTATAAGGCCAGCCTCAGCAACTTGTGAGACCCTGTCTCAAAATTTCAAAAAGGGGTTTGGGGGTGCTGGGGTTGTGGCTCAGTGGTAGAGCGCTTGCCTCGCACGTGCGAGACCCTGGGTTCAATCCTCAGCACCACATAAAAATAAATAAGTAAAATAAAAGTACTGTATCCAACTACAACTAAAAAATAAATATTTTTTAAAAGATGGGGGGGTGGTTGGGTTATGGCCCAGCGGTAGAGCAAATGCCTAGCATGTTTGAGGCACTGGGTTCAATCTCCAGCACCACATATAAATATATAAAATAAAGGTCTGTTGATAACTAAAAAAATATT